GGGGGGGGGGGTCAGAAAGGTTCACTCCCCTTCCTTAAAGGGGGGTTCGGGGGGCCTCCCCCGGAAACTTTTTAAAAAATGAAGCCGCAAGAACACAATTTTAACCCTTTCTGGTGAAAATTGTATCGGTAAATTGTCATTGAAATTTTGTTCTTTTTACCGATCGGTTTCCTGTAATTTATTTTGTTAAATGATAACGTATTTTCGCAACACGCACCTGCAGAAAGAGGTGGGAGAGGGAGACTGGGAAACTGGGAGATGCGGCCCGCAGGCGCAAGGGGGGAGGCGGAGGGCGAATCGCGGCATAGAGGAAATTCGGCGGTTCGCAAACCCTTGCGGACCACTGCTATAGGAAACAGCTGGACTGATGAGCGGCTCTCCTCTCTCGTTCTTTTCCCCTCCCTTTTCTCTCTGCTGTGTTCCCTCCGCGAGCACGGTCCGCACTTGTCTCCGAACCCAATTCTCACGCTCCGCTCTGCGCCGCGCGCCGGTGCCTCTCCTCTCTCGTGTACCCTTTGCCCCTTCATCATTGCACCCAGGTTCTCTGTCCTCACCGTACGCAGATCATCCAGGTTCGGTAGCCGGTGCGGACCACGCGTCAAAGGATTTTCTCTCTCCGCCGCGCCACATGCCGCTGTCGGAAGCCAAGCGCCCGATACTAATTTGCGATCTACTATTCTGTATTCCTCGAGTTATTATATATTGCTTCCCACATTCTTAGCCATAATTTATTAATTGTTTCAAAATATTTTAGGGTGTTCGGCGAACACTGCGAACCTATGGACGCCACGCCACTGACACGCATAATTGATTCTTGCTATCTGCCTGGAATTAAGAACAACTCAATTTATTTGTTTTAAAGTTAAGGTTTATCCAGGCTTGCAATCCAACAGAACATAACAAATGTGCGGCTTAGAGGACAAAGCTTACATGTGTAGTTTTTGCTATGTCAAGAAATACGCGTTTAAAGTTTCAAAATTACACGGAGCCCCATGGCAGAAGAAAATTTCAAATACTCAACTTTTGTTGCTTCAAAATTGGATTTTAGAAGTTAATTTTCTTCAGAATGTAATTTGGACCGTGCTACGTGGAAATGAACGAAGCCACATTAGATATTTGCCAAATTTAACTGGGCAATATAATTTTTTGTATGAAAACGGTTGTTCGGATTTTTGTACAAATTTCAGCGAAACGTCTGCACAGTGCGAAAAAAATTCCTGAAAATTTTCCAAGGTAATAATGTTTATGCAAGGTAGGCACTAATGTTTTCCTGTAAAGTGTCAAATTGCCTACTTAATTTTGGCAATAGCCGATGTGGCTTAGTTCCTTTCTGCTGAACGCGGTCAATTTAGGACTAGTTTCAGTGAAAATCATTAATATCTCAATTTTGTCATTTATACCACTAGCCTCTGAAACCCCTCCTATAAGGTCGAGTAAATTCGTAAACGGGTAATTTCAAGAGAAGCTAATTTTTTTGATGGTGTTTCAGAATCCGGGCGGCTGGAATTCGACGAATTCGTAACGTTGGCGGCTAAGTTCATCGTCGAGGAGGACGACGAGGCCATGCAGAAGGAACTGCGTGAAGCCTTCCGACTCTACGACAAAGAGGGCAACGGGTACATCCCGACCTCCTGCCTCAAAGAAATCCTCCGTGAGCTCGACGACCAACTCACCAACGAAGAGCTAGACATGATGATCGACGAAATCGATTCCGACGGCTCTGGAACAGTCGATTTCGATGGTAAGCATGGTCGCAACATTCGTATCAACCTCTCATAAGCGTCCAGCTAGCCCACGCACAAACTAGGGGACTGTTCTAACGTCCTGCACTGAAAAAAAAAATCTCGGTGTATTTACTAAAAAAAGGGTAAAATTACCAAGAATTCAGGGTTTTATTTGATCCCAGTTTTTTCTTGGTAAAATTACTATTTATGGAATTGGTAATTTTACCGAGAAATCTCGGTGAAATTATTGAACTTTCTCGGTAATTTTACTGGACCTTGGTAAAAACACCAATATTTTTTATCTACTGTGGTAGAATTACCAAGATAAAATGGCAAAGTTACCGGGAATGGATTACCAATAAAAGTGGTATTCTTACCTGAAAAAAAACAGTAAAAATACCGGTTTTTAGGTAAGCTTACCAGTCTGTCTTGGTAAAATTACCAATGATTGGTAAAAAAAATGAGATGGTAAAGGTACCAACGGACCTTGGTAAAATAACGCCGAGAATTTTTTTTCAGTGTGAGGGAAAACGCCGTATGAGTATTCGAATATTGTCAAATCTCCTCTCACAAAATATGCATTTTTGGAGAAAGTGATTGATATTTCCCCTTGAAATTTAAAGTTTTTGGATCAAGTTTCGAGCAAACCCTCCGAAAAATTGGAGGAGGAATATTCACAAATTTTCCTGGAAATTCATTGTTTTTCCATGGAAACTTGACAACGCCTGATGGCTTATACGGCGTTTTCCCTTAGTACGTCAGTGTTTCCTTTCAAAGATCTTTGGCCTGACAATCTTTGAGGGTAACCGATGTGTTCGGGACACATCACACATCAGATCTTGAGATTTTCAAGGAATTCGGTGCAAAAGTAACTGAGAAATTGAAGAATTAGTGCCGGTTTGAGAGCCTCAGTTTGTGTGTGGGACAGACGCCATAGATTAAGGTGATTCTAAGTAATCAAGGTAGGGATTCGTCCACCACGCTGCGCTATTGCATATCGATCTTGCAAAAGTGAGACACCACGTATCTCCATTACAGGATTTTAAAATTTCCGTTACTATTTTTTCTTTCGAAGAGAGTAGAAACCAACCTCACAACATGAAATGTATGCAGAATATTTTTGTAAAAGAGAAGAAAAATTCCCGAGGTTCTCAAGAAATTACGTTCCATTTTCCCAAAATAAAGCATGACAGAAAGTCTTCAACGTCACAAAGGTAGATGTGTGGTTCCGCACTTTGGCCATCGAGAAGCATCAATATATTATTGAAATCTTCAAATTAATGCGACAAACCGACCCATAACTTGTAGCAGCATCAACGTTGCGTGTAGTATGACATTAAATTTGCGAAGGCTCATTGATAAATTTAAATCAAAAATTACGAAAACAGATTTCGGCCATTGACTCGAAGTATGTAAGAGAGACAGCGCTCTGGCATTTCTCGCTTACAAAATTGAGTCAATGAGTGAGGTCCTTTTCAGGAGTTTTCGATATTAATCTTCAACGAGTCTTCACTAATTCAATGTCACATACTCAGTATTAATACTACATGAGTTCATAGCAGAGTGCCACGCTTTTGGGCCAAAGTCTAAAGCCTTATTGCAAATCCGACCCTGAGTGCTTTACGCTTACTTTCAACAGTTCGCCTTCAAAAATTTGGCAGGCAATTTGAGCGACTTCGCAGTGGTAGTAGTTTTGTAGCATTTTCATTCAGTTTTGGCAGGAAAAGGATATGGAGTTACATTATGAACTATGCTTTACGCTTGCCTTGACCAGTCCCCCTTCAATTTGACGAACAAAAATCGAAAGTTTGAAGGTTACATTCTAAAAATTATTGTTTCGATGGGGGGACGATTCGAAGTTGTAATCGGTGAATATTTGAGACTCGAATTTTTCTCATTAAAAATTTAAAAATCAAATTATTTTTTTTTTCTCTTCTTGGCAATGAGCTTCTAACGGTCTTTTCTATGGGCGTTTTGGAAAGCGTTTTTCGTCGAAAGCTCAAATCCAGTTTTTCATCGCAGCTTGAAAAAAATCGCTCCCCTGAAAAATTTGCCTCCTTAAATATCCCTGTTCCCCCAAACGCTCTCACATTCGCGTGAAGTTGCAAGTTCAGGTAATCCTCAACTGGGATAAATGAGTCAGATGTTCGTATTACAGAATAGGTTTGTAAGTTTTAATGACTCGCCAGTTGCCCTGGTGGTCACCTCGGCTAACTTCAAGTCAGTAGCTCCCACTCCCGAGTCCCAGTAGGTTTGCGCATGCAATTAGGGCTTAAAAATTTAATGAGCTAACTCAACTTTCTTTTCTTTATAATGTGTTTCATTTTTCTTTCTTTAATAACAATTCGCCCACGACGCGACGGTTCGAAAATTGTTTGTAATTTTGAGAATAATTTTTCAATTGTCAAAACACTGTAGCAGGCACTTTAATAAATGCTTAGAAATATTGTCTTTTGGAAGTTTACAGAGTTTGTACTTGCACGCAAATTAACATGTTGATGGGGAAACTACCAGACCACGAATCTTGGTTTGCGACGTTGGGACTTACTGTCATACTTTATTTTTCAAATGGGAAACGACTCAACGTCAGTTCTGGAAAACTTTTGTGATTTTTCTCTCTGCGCGATGAAAAGTCTGTGAAACCCCCAATGAGGGATATTGATTCGTCCTCCTGCAAAAAAATAAAATGGAAGCGGAAATTTTTAAACAGCGCAAACGAGATACGTGGCCTGGTAGTTTCACCGTCGAAATACATGTGTTTGTAAATTTCTTGCATGTTTTTGATAAAAAGCTCTGGATTGACTCATGCAAAAATGTTTTTTTTCCTCTCTTTTTTTCTTTCATTTTTTCTTCTCTCTTTACACTCTGTTTCATGTCGCTGTTTCAGAATTCATGGAGATGATGACTGGAGAATAAGCGTCACTTTCAAGAAGGAGAGGTGACAATCATGAACCAACCGACAGCCTCCACAACTTGCAAATTCTTGGAACTCTACTTCACTCCGATGGCTCCGCATAATGTCTGCTCGCGAACAAATCCTGCCATTCGGCGTACGCCTCAAACCCAATATCATTCTGCTCAACTGCACTAGTTCGTTCCTCATTCTACGGGTTGAAATTTTAACACAGACTCCATTAATGCTGAGAATTTTCAGACGAATTCTGAGAATCTCAAACCAACTTCCTTCGTATGTGCAAGCCTCAAAAGCTTCGCGAAGTCTTACCTCACCCTGATCGCATGAATTTATTGGGTATTCACGTGAATTTGGCAAAAGCACAAGTGGTCACTCAATCTAATGACGAGCTCCTGGCAGTTCATCTTGCGGGACGGACGGAAACATTTCACCTCATTAAACTTGCCCTCTTTTCCTTTGTAATATACCTCGTCCCATTCATCGCCCCCACCCGATCGCATATTAATACCACCTATTTAATTGTTTAATTTATTATTTATTTTCTTATTTATTCAACTATTTTTCTACTTAAACTTTTATCTCGTTATTTTTTGTGTATGTCTGTTCATTTACAAATATACATGAAGAGTTTTGACACCATTGCGTAGCATTTAATTCGTCTCTCGGCATAGATTTCGTATGAATTATGCCATTTCCTGACACTGTCCGTATTATTTAGCAAAAGTATAGGTACCTTGCACCCATGTGAACTTTGAGAGGTCTCTATTAGTGAAAATGTAGATAAGTTGTTTTTAATCTAGAGTATCCTACTGAAAAAAAATCTCGCTTACGCGTATATGTGTATACTCAAATCAGAGCAAATGCGGAAACGACCCATATTTCAAAATTGAACAATTTCAGCCATTGGTTTCAAAGCTTGAAATGAATTTTAAGAGTCAAACGCAATTTCTCTTTTATTAAATTTTAACTGCCATAAATTAAAAAAATAGTAAAAATGTACAACTTTCTCATTGCTGCTGGACGATACCCAAATTTAGAGATTGCTCCAGTCATGTTTCGTTAACGATAAAAATCCAATTTTAGTTTTATTTTTTGGCTTTTTGCATTTTGATCCAGTACTCGAACCTCATTACAAGCTTTAAAACTTCATTAAATGAATGTTACGGTCATGTCCGCTTTTATCGTTCCATGCTGATTTTTTCACACTCAGCGAACATTACTTTTCTTCAGGCACACAGTATTCGGCAATAGTTCTGTGAGGTTGTCACTTCTTTCTGGATAACTTGGTGAGGGAAAATTGCCATCCAATTATTTAATGCACAAAAATATTGGCGCGTGACTGAGGCTCTTCCTCTTTCTTTGACAGATTTGATCTTCGCCACACAATCCTCTCATTCCGCTTCTAATACGAAATGTCAAACTTGATAATTGAATTTCAGGAAGATTTCTAAGATCAAATGCCTGGCATTGGGTGGGATTTTTGGCGGCCCGCTCTTGGCACATGCGGGCAGTGGTTGCCAGAACTCGGTTTTCTCCCCGCGCATTCGAAGCAAAACAAAAAAATGACCCCCTCCCAAAAAAATTGAAAAAAAAGAGAGAAAAATGATGACGTAAACATACGATGAAGGACTGCAATTTTGAGAGGACACTAGTGCTGAAGGATTTCATTTCTTTATAAAACCGTGCAAAAACTTGCAATATTGGTTTATTGGTATCTATTTTATTATCTATGTTCGGTACAAATTCTATTACGAAACGTTGGCCACTAGCAAAAAATTAGAGAATTCCAAAGTTCAAATTTTATTGAATATCAAGAGTTTGTAGTGGCCGTGCATAAATTACGTCACCCAATTTTTCCAACTTTTTGACCCCTCCCTTCCCTCTGTGACCTACATGTCACTAACCTCCTGATCCCCACCCCTAAATTATACTTCAGCTCAAGTGTACCCCACTCGTAGTGCGTAGGCGTTGGGTTGTAGAAACCATTTTTACAGGTATATCACACATTGATACAAACGTTAAAATGACTCGAAAGTACGTTGAGCACACAGGACAAGTTTGAAATGTACTTCTTTTCTCAGTATGAGACGGTAACATCACTTTTACTCGATCCCTCCACCCTCTTTGTCACCTAAATGCCACTCAGCTCAGCGCCCACCCCTTGGCTGGATGACGTAATTTATGGACGGCCACGTATAATAAGATATGATGACGGGAGATGTCGTTTTTAATTTTACTATATTTTAGGGGGGGCGGCAAGGGGGAGACAGGGTTGAATTTGGTTAAGAAATATCTTTGTTTCTTTGGAACGGTTATGACTGTAAAAAGTTTTCGCACTATAGGTCAAAATCAATCCTTGATAATACTTAATAAACTCAATGATTGAGACTTAAAAAGTTGGAAGCCGTTCCGGGCTTATTTTCATCCCTCGTGAGTTGTCATCAAGTGCTCTGTTGTTTCCGCGAATCCAATCACATTTCATAGAAAACGCGTCCCGAGCTCAGTGGCTTGGCGTGAATTGCGATGTATCGATTGTTATGCCATTTAAACCTATGGAAAAGGATCGATAAACAGGGTGTTCGCAGCGAACACCTTAATACTCGATTCTTTACCATAGGTTTAAATGGCATAACAATCAATATATCGCAAAGCTTGCCACGCCACTGCCCGAGCTCTATCGAGGGCTACGTCAGAGATAATCCTCGAAACGGTAAACAAGAGAACGAAAAAAAGTTGTCGGGATTGATCAGAAGACAATTGGAAGTTACGGTCGAGGTATAAAGATGAAAAGAGTATGGAGGGGGGGGAGGCGGAGCGGGAAACTAGGGCGGTGGAGATAAGGGAGGTAAACGGAAGAAGAAATTAAATGAAATGTGTTAGTTGTTTCGCAGCCTGACTTCTCCCCGGTGAAAAATGGCGAGAGGACGGAAAGGCAGACAAATTCGATCTTCATTAAGCGGCAAAATGCACAGAATCTCTACCCTTGAAGATGCTCGCCGCAAAAATGAGTTCCCATTCGCGCAATGGAATAAATTGCAGAGCGATTATCCTCAATGGGTACTGTGCCTTACTGTATGGTACATTTTTGTAACTCACGAATATTTCTGTGTCACGTGTTAGTTCATTCGAGAGATTTACGTACATAGTTATGAACCACACAATCGGTTTTTCGATTTTTTTTTTAAAATTTTCTTATTTTTAAGGGATTATTTATTTCCTTTTTTTTAAACCTCATAGAGTGAGTTTTTGGACATATGTGGTCTTTGTGGACCCTGAGAATTCAAGAGAAGTTTTTGCCTATCTCATAGTTAGTTTTATCAACCTTCTTGGAGAGGTGAAAGGGAATATTTTTGGTTAATAAGATGTAACACGTCAATTTTCTCGACCGGATTTTTTGCCCGAAAATGTTTTTGAGGGTTTTTGGTAGCCTTTATAACTCACGAATATTTCTTTGTCACGTGATGACCGAAGTACGAAACCACGCGTCTCCGTTTGCGACGTTGCAGACTTCCTGTCAATTTTATTTCTTTATTGGAAAACTAATCAATGTAATTTCTTAAAAACTTCCATAATTTTTTACTAATGTCGGCAAATTTTTCCCTGTAAATTTCAAGCTCTAAAGTTGGCTTGTTTCTCTTCTAAAAATTCAGAAAGGACTGAAAATTTTAAGGTACTGCAATGGAGATATGTGGTTTTGCACTTTGACCATCGATGTATTCACGGTCCATGTGCGACCATGGCTAGAGTTGGCCTAGGTCTCGGACTCAGGTCTGACTGGGATACTCAGCGGAATAAAACGCCTTCAATCTAGGATGATACTGGGGAATGCCGGAGTGCAGGTATAGTGGTATCCTCTATATAATTCAATCCTCCAAATCTCGGTATCGGATAAGCGCAGTTTTGGGGCACAAATAATTTGAATGAAAGTACGCAGCGTTGTGAAGACCATTCAAAACTTTCCTCGTATTTTTATCATTTTCTTTGCATAAGAGAGTCTTATCATGAATTCCGACAAAAATGACATGAATCATGTATGCCAATCAATAAACATCTCTTATCTTTTTAGGGAATGTAATGGGCAATATTTAGCGAACGGGAACAATTTTTTTTTTTTTTTTTGGGGGGGGCAGGTCTTTACCTCTTTATATGGGAAAGAAGTATTTCAAATTGTTCGGATTGAGAACATTTTTAAAGATGAAAACTTCTAATTTCAACGATTTCTGGATCAGCGTCTCTAGTATTTAATGGCAAAATGTAATTTAGTCGGAATAAATATCGTAATTATTTTTTTGCTTAGTCAGTTACTTATCGATACTCTTTTTTTTTCTTTCTTTCTTTTATTAAAATAAAGACAAGAAACCGAAAGTAAACTGATTTATTATGTCTAATATGAAAAGTTTTGCTAACTGAATGACATGCATCCTATGTTGCATAAAACAAATCCTTCAAGTTCATTATTAAGTCCTCTTCTTCTTCTTCTTCTTCTTCTTCTTCTTCTTCTAACTTCTGACTGGGGCCGTGACCCTGTTTGCCTAGCCTCTAAATTAGTATATAAATATGATAAATAAAACATGATGGCGATGAGAGGGATCACTCCGGGGATGAAAGGCAGCTCTGCGCCCGGTTATAGGAAATTTTGTCAACGATTTTTTGTCCGCGCACCTGTTTTTTCCAGTAATTTACGTCCACGCGTTTTTTCGGAGTTTTGGTCCACGTGCCAGTTGAGACCCAAAGTTAATTGGCCCACATGTAAATACAAGCGACAATTGCTCACGACGTTTTTGAATGAAAATTTAAAATGTCTTGGAAGAATGAGGGTTTGCTTGTTTTTATGTTTTGTCTGTTTGTTCCAACGGAGAATAATATATAGTTGAGAGTTTTGGTAAAAATGGGGGAGCGTCAATTCCATGAGACAAAATTCACTAAAACTCTCTCTCTACACCTCTTTGGTGTAACAGGACTTAATTATCTTTCAAGATTTTCCCACCTTGTTATACCTGAACCGGGTAAACCTCTATATTTGCCTCAGCTAAAGGCTGCACAATAAGTATCTTGATTTATTTTGCGAGGAAAGATCTGTACTTTTAAAGGATGCCTGTCATTCTTAATACGTTCAATTTCGTACAATACTGTGCAACACTTCTGTTGTGAAAATAAAGTTGCTTCAGGCGCCGCTGCACGGCGCGGGCGAGTGGCCAGCGCGTAACGCGTATTGGCGCCTACAAACCTAAGTGGATACTTCAAGCATTGCGCAATGCGTGAAGTATCCACTTGGGTTTGTAGGCGCCAGTGAGCCTCTCGCGCTGGAAGCACGCCGCTCCGCTCTGTTAGGCTTTTATATTTATACTCGCATAGTCAGTGTTTTTTAACTCAGGATTTTGAAATGTTTGCACACTCTGCATTGATTATTCTCATTTAAATTGATGGGGAAAAATATGTATCAATTTATCAAAGGAGAATAATAATATAATGTGTGTTTTTTAAATATTGGTGGTTCCGTGTCAAATTTAATGATTTCCAAAGCACTTTAATTTTTTCTATTACATTGTGTGCTTTTATTGTGCTGCAGCGACGTGCACACGCAACCAAACGCTCAAAATTTGACGTATTTGACTCTAAAAGATCGATGTACAAATGGG